TAAATAGGTAAATTGTTCCATGCTACTATTGTCCTTGGATAAAAGGAAAACTTATAGACATCATTTGATACACGGATTTGTTGGAAAGGACGACTGTTCAGTAATCTGGTGGCCCTTTCGTGGACTTCAGGAGGAAAGCTAATACCAACATGTCCCATTAAGATTTTGTAGAACATAGTAGTTTGAAAGAGGAGTCGACGATCTTCAAGGGAGTCCCAACCAAGATATTCGATCATTGGAGTAATGATCATTGGAGTAATTATAGAAGCCAATTGCGTAACCTGGTGTTTTGTTGAGCTTTTATCGTATATAAGCCTAATTGCATGCAGTAAGCGTCGTAGATGGGTAAGCTTACCTCAGTAAATTTTTAGTTCTGCATAATAGAGTTTAATTTGGTGATTCACAACCGGTTTTAGTGTTTTTGCACTTCTTTGATAAATCAATGGTACAGTACCAGACAACCAATAGGAATTTATGGTAATTTTTTATGACGGAATAGGTTACCATAGCAACAGCATAACTTGTTAATTTTAAGCTTAAAGATGAGTTCCAGTCTGTACTGTGCAGTCTCAGCACCCTAATATTTATAAACATTATAAGTTTCACTCGATGGAATGCAAATTGATGTCATTCATTACAAACCAGATACCTCATCTGCTGCTATTGCTACTGCTACTCATCTATCAGCTAATTAGCTACTGAGTCACTGCTACTGCTCAGTGGCAGATCCAGACTTTGAGCTAAGGGGGGGGTAGGCCCCTGAGCCTCTCCCCTAAATCCGCCACTGCTGCTAATGCCACTGCTAATAACTAGTGCTATAAAAATGAATTATGATGATGATGATGACTATTATTACTGTTGCTGCTGCTGCTTCTACTACTAGTTGCTACTAGCAGGGATGGCAGAGCATATTTTGAATTGGGGCTTACAAGCGAGCGCCAGAGGTGCTAACTTGTAGGGGGTCTGGAGATATTTATGAAATTATTATTTTATATCTTTTTTGCTTGAAATTGGGAGGGGTTAAAGCCCCCCCTCAGCTGCCCCCCCCCCC